AAACATGCTGCACCAAGCCAGCTTCCAGAAAAAATTCCAAGAAGGTAGATGAGGTTGAGTTGCGTGCACACAGGTTTGTCCAGTCTATTGCTAGATTGAAGTCACCTAGAACCACACTGTGGAACTCAGTTAAGACATTTTCGCGAAGCAATTCGATCAGCTTTTCATCTTCACTTCTGTTTGAGCTTGGTGGGCGGTAGACGAGAATGAAGCGGATTCGCGAACCATTCTTCGGGCAGAAAACTTCCAGACAGAGAACATCCGCCTTAGTAGACGAACTAAGTTCAACAGGATGACAGAAAAGGTCACCTTTCGCTAAGCAACATACTCCACCTCCTCTACCTTCTTTACGATCAAGACGGAACAGCAAATACGGGAAGGCGGCTAATATCTCGGAATCATTGATGCTCGAAGTGAGCCATGTCTCAGTAACAAATACCAAATCAGGATGTTTTTGACTTATAAGGAAATGCAAATGATCTATCTTATTGCAAAGACTACGGGCGTTCAACAAGTGGCAAGTTAGGACAGAATTACCGTGCACCTCTAGTGGTTTCCCGACCGTTTATGCGGCAATTCAGCTGCGCGTTTGAGCTGCCCATGGTAGACAACCCATTCACGAATGCCGCTACCCTTATTACGTTCACGAGCTTCTTGACGCAGCTCGTATTCCCGTTTCCTCTCCTCCTCGGTCATGCTTCGACGTATAAAGACCTCTGGCAACCCAGCATCTCGGAGAAGGCGTGCATTGGCGAGGACGCGCCGCCAGTGAGATCTGGATGGTAGGACCACTTTCACCAGGCGAGGGTGCTTGGAATTAGGCCTACCCATGCGATATGTTTCAACTGGACGGCACTCAACATCTACTGCATCGAGAACTCGAGCAACTTTATCCTCGAGGTCTCTCTGACGCGCAGATGGACAAAGGCCGTCCCGTCCTTCCTCTAGACCAGAGATAACTATGCTGCGGCTCCGTTTATCGCTCTCGAGGAGGTTGGAGAACTCCATGGGGATCTTTTCCGAGAGAGCTACAAGCATACTTTCAATAGCTGGGTCCTGATTAAGCTCCATAATACTTTTGATAAGTTCCATGGCCGACATGTTATGAAAGTTTTCTGCTTCTGGACTAGTTGTCTGGGTGCTCATTCTGCTACTAGAGCCAGATATTGGCTGAGAACAGCTCGTTGAAGCCTTAGAACGCAGCTGTTTCGACGGCATTTTGTTTGATCTTTGATTTACCCAATACTGAGTCTATTGAGTCAATAATTACTAGTAGCAGGCAACCGGCAACCCAAACAATTACTAGTAGCAGGCAACCGGCAACCCAAACAATAAAGAGGAGAAATTGACCCAAAAAAACTCGAACGAAAGCTGTGAAAACGAAATAGAAACCAGAAATAAACAACGCAAAATAAATACTGAGAAAATGAAGAAGAAATGCTTTTAAAATGCGAAGACTAGAAAAGACTTACGACAGCTGGAAGAAACGCGACCGCCCAAGACGACCTCAGTTATGTGTGTTTGATATTATTGCTTTCCGGCAGCATTTACGATTTTACGATTTCTGATGAACTTACACACTCGCAACGTTTTTGTGACTTCACTGTGCTGCTTTTGCTTCATCTCCAAATACCATACA